TTTAACACTATTTTAAATATAAATTACTCACTTTAAAACAATTAATCTAAAAGTATCTACCTATCAATTTATCAAAAAATTATTATTTTAAAAAATTTTCATTTTCATTTTTTTTGTTCAATGTCAATAAAAATAATTATTATTATACGTGGAGGAAATGACAAAAAAAAATTTAAATTACTTAAAAATAACTTATTATAGTTGGCTCACCTGACAAATCCACTGAAATAAAATCCTTGATTAATTTATAGAGTTAGATTGAACATGAATCTCACCTTCGTAAGGAATACATCGCTTACTAATTTCACAGATGGTTTCAATAAAATTTATCTCCATTGAGTTGTTGTTCCTTTTCAGATTCTTTGCACTTTTTTAATATTTTCTCATCATCATATTTGGATCTGTAAGATTTATGATCTAAAAAGATTTATCAATTCAATATGTTTTTTTTTTTTTTTTTTTTTTTATTCTCATTTCGTTCAAATACTTTTATTTTCAAAAAAAAAATAAAAAAAATGTTTACCTTTGTCTCTATCATCTTTCTCATTTTTTTTATTTTTATCCTTTCTTTCTTTATGTTCGTCCCTCCTAGATCGACTTCTATCCCTCCTTTTTTCTTTGTCTCTGTCTCTATATTTGTCCCTGTCTTTTTCACGATCTCTATCCCTATCCCTATCTCTTTCTCTATCACGATCTCTATCTCCATCTCTATCCCAATAACGATCTCTTTCCCTCTCTCTGTCTCTATCGCTTCTATGTCTGTCATCATCTCTTCTATGCTCATATCTCCTGTCATGCCTATCACCTCTCCTATCTCTTTCTCCGTTACCGCTTCTTCGCCTATCATCTCGACGACTAAACCTATCCCTTTTATCAGATTCCCTTCTTTTTTCCCTTTCTTCCCTTATTTTATCTCTTTCTTTTATCATTTCTTCAACAGTCAACTTTAATTTCGCATAACCGACATGCTGTTTACCTAATAATAATTGAACATTAAATCATATTACAAAAATAAAACCTCAAAACAAAAAATAACTCTTTCATTTACCCATCAAGTGATCATCTATTCTCTGAGGAGCATCACCAACAATTAAAAATGCACCACAAACTTGACAAACTTCCATTTGTTCTCCTGTTCGGCTGCAGACTGGCCGTTTGTGCCAATGACTATTTCCCTCAAGTTATTCTTTCTTCTTTATGATCACATAGTTTCATTACCCTTGTGCTTGTTCTACATTTCCCTGAATTCCTGCAGCTTCAGCTTCTTCGACCAATTTATTGATTTTTTCATTTAAAAGAGACATTTGCTCTTGATTTCTTTGAGCTTGGGCAGGAGTCATGGCAACTTTTTCCTAAAATTATTTTTTATCAATTTTTGTTTACCTCACATAAAATGTTGTGAAAATTGAATTAAAACATATTTATAACGCATACTTTTGTAATAATAAGAATATGTACTTACAGAATTATTCATTAAAGCAAGCCTCTGCTTTCCTTTTTCTATTTTTCTTTGAACATCATTTAATATATTGTTACAAAAGCGTATAAAATCTTCAAGGTACTGAAATTTTTTATGACTTGTTGATTCATCATACAATTTTTTAACTTCATCATCATGTACTTTTGAACATGGGCCCAAATCAGCCCTTGTGTTGACAAATAAATCATGTGGACAAAAACTGACCAAGTAATATTTACAATACTGAAAAAAAATCGTATAACATTAAATCTGTATAATCTTTGTATATTAAATGGCTTAAAACTTTAACAAACTGTATGAAAAATTTCAAACTCACAATTAATAAATAAGTTTTAAGTCGCGTGCAGAAATTAAATGCTAGTAATATATTTAAAATTAACAAATAAAATTTTTAATAGTCTCATTATTTTTTACTATTCTTTATACCGAAACTAAGAAAATATTAAAAAAAAAAAAAAAAAGAAGTATACATTTTAATCACTTGTTAATTCTTTTTATTACGATTGAAACATATTATTTTAAAACGAATTTAAAAAAATTAAGTTTTTCTTTATAGGTGACATGATATTTCTCATAACGAAAAAGATTAAAATGACTTTTTCTAAAAGTAATTTATTTATATTTACATGTATAAAAAGAATCTACATATGTACGGGCAAAACTAATTGAAGTATAATTTACAAAAGTAAAAATAGAAAACTTATAGAAATTACTATTCAATAAATATCTAACTGTTTTTACCTCAGGATCTTCCCAATTTAATTCAATTCCTTTTTCATGAGGAGCTGCATTTCTATTTCTACCCATTAACTCATCCAGAAGTGCAGCCGCCGCGGCAGCCATTTTGCCAATACCTTTGTTAAATAATTTTCAACGGTGACAAACCACTGAGCAAAATTCAAACGGTCGTTAAGTATAAAAATGAATTGCAAAGGAAAATTTAGAAACTAATACTAATTTTATTAAAAATTTTAGGTGCGTTACTTGAAATGATTTTAAAAGTTTTTTTGCACAGTTCTATAATGACTTGAGTCTATTTTAAATACTAAATTATTAAATTTAGTTAATTATTTTTTATGTTTCATTTTACTTTTTCCGCTTTGTGACGTTTGTCTATGACAATTCTGTCTAACTTATTTTCTTATTCTTCACCTTTCATTTATTTATATATGCTGTCTTAAAATTAAGTTTAATAAATTTCATTAATACTTAAATTAAAAAAATATTTTACTAATAATTTTTTTTTCTAATTTATTAAAAAGAATAGTAACAATCGTTTAGTATGCCATTGTTGTCGTAAGTTTTTTTTCCCGCTTTGACATATTTTAAAATACTTTTCAAAAGATACAAAACTAAAAATTTTTTATTTTTAATTTTAGGGCAAAAGAAATAGTATGGTATGAAAAAAAATTATCTCACAATGTGGTTTCATTTACTTCTAAAAAATTTGAACCTAATGGCTCCGTTGAAGAACAAAATCAAATACAAAGTATTTTATCTGGTATACATGATGTAATCTCGACTGAAAGGGTTAAAAAAATGTAAGAGCATCATTATGATTATTGTGTATTTTACATTGTTCTTTAAAAAAAAGAAAAAAATATAAAATTAAAAAATTTTTTTCAGAGACTCTCTTTCACAAGCCAAATGGCATCCGGAACTTCAAATGGCAGAGGTGGTTCGTCAAATAGGATCCCATTGGTTTAAGATGGGACATGTGATAAATAAAAAGCTTTACATATATCCGGAAGAAGCATTATATTTGCTTGAATGTGTAATAATTTATTTACCTTAAATTTATTAATTAATATTTAATAATTAATTACATAATTTTATTTGCAGGGACACCTGGAACTTACCTACAATGAATTGCCGCTAAGTATTCAAAGAGCTTATTTTTTACTTTTAGAAAACGGGGAAAATGGTGTATCACTTGAAAATTATCGAGTTTATTCATATTTAAATTCTGCTGGTTTTAAAGTTTTAAGACATTCTTCGAACAAAGTTTTCAAGCATAAAAAACAAGAAAAGCATTTAAAAAGAGAAATAGAAACTCTGAATCCTAATTGTGAAACTTTAGGCAGCAAAAAAGTTAAATCGGAGTCAGATGAAATATCAAACACTTCAGATAATAATATTAATTTAAAAGAAATAATTTCCCGAAAGAGAATTTTCCAATCATTCATAGATTTACAACAATCTGAATTAAATTTTGATTATGATATATATTTATTTTCTAGTAAAAAAAATTCTCTAAAAAAAAATAATACAAATTTGCCTAATTACAGAGTAATCGTTCACAGGTAATAATAATGATTTACACATTTATTTTTTTTTAAATCGTTTTTTAATTCTTTTTAACATAAAATTATAAATGGCTGTGTATAATTAGTGTATCAAAATATGTATAAATGTATGTTTAAAAAGTGTATATGTGCGAATGGATCAAGACAAACAATTTATACTTTTTTAAAATTTTACATGCTTAATAACAAACTTTTCTTTTTTTAACTTAAAATTTTTTTTTTCAGGGGTGAAGAATCAATGCCGAGTTTTCAACAAATATCCAGATTAAGTCAAAAATTTAATGATAATGTTCCAGTGGTTAATGCAATCGTATTTCCTGACCATATTGCATTTTATCAAATAAACTCCGTTATCGTTCCTGATGCTGATGATATATAGTATTGGTATGTAAATTATTTTTTTCTCTTCAAAGTATAAAAAACTGAATTGTAATTGTATTAAAGTATATTTTTGTATTTAAAACACAAAATTTTAACAAAAAATATTAATTACAGATAAAGAGACTACAATAATGAGAAAAAAATAAAAAAAATTATTGTTTATTTGCTCTGTAAGTAATAAATGTTACTAGGAGAAGAAGATACAAGAAAACGTTTAAGTGGGAACATGTGAGGACTAGTAGGTGGACGTGAAATAAGTAATTTATGAATTAAATGATTTTTGGTTGGATTCGATGTTGGACATTCAGTTTTTAGATTTATTATAATGGCTTTATTTGTACCAAATAAATCAGGAGCTCCTAAATTAAGTTTTCGAACTGGGCTAACTTCGGGTGTAACATAAGTTATGGGAAAAGGAGGAGGAATGCCAAATATTGGACGGGAAGAACTCACTAATTCGTTTTCACCATTTCCTTGAGTATTGAAATTATTATTGAATTGAGGATTGTATCCTTTTTTAATATCATTATTATTTATAACTTCAACCTTGTCGGAGAAGACATTGTTTTGATATTTAGGAGGTCGATCATCCTTTACTCTAAAGGGATTTTCAATATCAACAAATTCGTTTGTTTTTTCCCAATCTTGCCTGACGTTGGTTTTCATTTTTTTTCCAATAAATGTCGGTTCGGGACTTTTGTCGGACGCAAACAAAGAACCATCCATACCTAAATTATTATGAGGCATTCTATTCCTGTCGGGTTCCCATTGAAATTTTTCCGGTTGTTGATCGTCGTAATTATTTTGAGTTTCGTTATCGACAAAAAAATCTTTTCTATTCGCGCCAAAATCTGGATAATGAAAATTACCATCTCTTTCGTTGTTTTCATCGAAAAATGACCGCCTTTTGTTTACATTTTTTTCGTCCGTTAAATCATTCGAATATTGGTTGTAATCCAATTTGAACATGGGTTCCGATTTATCCGAACTTTTTTTACCGTTAATTAAATGATCTTCGTAAATTGTTTCTAAAATTATTTGTCGACAAAAAAAAAAATTATTTTAAATTTTCCCCCCCGAAAAAAAAAAAATAATAATAATAATAAAATACTCACCACTACAACAAACATGTAGTACGGTAACAAACATTAAAATAATTATATTTTTTTTCATTTTTTATTAAAATTCACTCACATTCAAATGAATTTCTTATAATAAATATTTTTACGAGTCGTCCAAGAGTTTTAAAGGTAGAAAATTTATTTAAAAAAATACTCGGATGGTTTCCATTTTCAAACGGCCATCATTTAAGTCACGTTTCATTCCTAATACATAAGAAAAAATATTTTACTTTTATGGTTATTATTTATTAAATAATTAATTTAAATAGAATCGCGAATTTAAAAAAAAAACAAATTTTACCATTTTCTTCAAAATTTCCTTTTTTATCTGTTCGAAAATGTTAGTATATAAGGAGGAAGGTAGTTTTATGAAATCATCATAATGAACCTACCGTAATTCTGACATGTTTATTAAACTAAACATCATCCATCTTTTTTTCAAAAATGGTAAGCACATCCAAACATAATTTTAGAAGTTTAATTATAAATATATAAAAATGTTGCATAAAAAATTTTTTTTTTTAGTTGAAATTGGTTTTTCTTACCGCAACAAAGAGAAATTTTCTTTTGCGAGAATTGACCCCATTAAAATAAAATTAAATAAAAACTTTTACAAGGATTAAGGGTGGAAAATAATAAAAAAAATTTTTAATAAAATAATTTTTTTATTAAAAAATTACATTTACAATAAAATGAAAATTATAAATTCATTTATGCATAAAATATGTATATATATTTCATTATTTAATTAAAAAAAAAAAGATAATATAGTGTTGTATGAAAATATTGTTTTCTTTCTACTTTTCATATATATATATGTTAATTATATTTTTTTTAAAATGCCTCGAAAACAATACTGATCATTTATAAATATATATATTATTTTTCTGACATAAAAATAAACTTATATATAAAATTTCTATATAAAAAAAAAAAAATTAGGTAATAATAATTATATATTACCAGGAGAGTAAGATAATGCATTTTATTTTAATAATCAATCATAATTTGTTGCGGTTTTAATACATATATAATGTAAAAAAAAAAAAAAAAAATTTACGGTATTATGATATTTCATTTTTTGAAATTCGGACATGGTTATTTATTTATTAATTTTTTTTTTTTTGAGACTGAACTGTTGGAATAGTTTTAACTGAGGAAAAACTTTACAAACAATTATTAATATCGGATTTAAAAACTTAATATGGGAATTTTTGGATTTCGGTGGTTTTTTAAACATTCATTAAAGCAAAGCATATTAAATTAGTAAAATTGCAAGCTAGTTGTAAATTATTATTAATTAATATGTATAGGAACAATACTGGTACAATATTCTTTTAGTTTTTCTTAACTTGTTCTCAATTGACTTGTAACATTAAAAGTTAAATAAGTATTTAAATGTATTGAAAAAAAAAATTGACGGCTTTGCAAATTTGCAATAATTGATCACACATATCGGCTAATCGATATTAAATAAAATATCGAAATATAACCTTTCTAAAAAAAATTTTAAAGCATTAAATTATTTTAGGATACCAATTAATAAAAATTTTAAATGTGATAATACTTATGATAAATCCAATATTTTTTTTTCTTCATATAGTTTTTGCACCCTGTCAAAAACTTGATTCATGCTATCAAAAGCTTCAGGAAGTAAATTCAACATTTGATTTAATTTATCTTCATTGTTTTTAGAGATCTAAAATAATTTGTTTTAATTAAATATTAATTTATAATGCTGTTTAAATGATGGAAATAATTTTACCTTATTGAGTAATTCTGCTCTGGTAGGCAAAAATTGCATTGCTACTCTGGCTGAGGTTTTAATTATCCAACTGTGGTATTCGGCTAGAGTTTTATCATATGTTTCTCTTGCGATAACACCAAGTTTTTCATTATTTTCAGCATCATAAATAGCTTTCAAAAATTTCCTTATAAAATCTATGAAACAGTAAGAGGTAAAAATAAACTTTACACAATTATTCAAAAGTTCATTTACATATTAAACATAGATTTTTCTAAAAATATACTCAATTTCACACACCTAAACCCCTGTGTAATCTTAAAAGAGTCCTTGAACCTGATACATATTTAGAATCTTTAAGCAAATTGGATTCTATTTCATGATTTACCATCGATTTGACAGTTGAAAAATAAATTAATTTTTCATTTTTTGTCAGTTCTTCATTTTGAAATTTGTTCAATATTTCTATTTTGTTTTTTACATCTGATGCTACAAATTGAAAAGCTCCCCCCAATAATAAAAAAAAGCTGTTAAATATAAAAATAATAATGTTATATTTTTCATATTAAAATAATCCTAAAAAAAAATTATGACAGTTCACAGAAATCATATTGATTTTTATTTAAAAAAAAAAAAAAAAAAAAACCTTAAAACTTACTTGTATAATTGTTCATATGCTAATAAATAGTATTTTAGTTCAACGTCATCAGTACTTAATGCTTCTTTAAAAACACATTTTTTAATATTTTTGCAAAACTCTTCAAAATCAAATTCTCTTTCAAGTTTTTCATTTTGATTTAAAGCAGATGAATCTTCACTGTAATCGGTTACATCAGCAATATCGTCCATTTTTTTATTTGATCTTACAAACCTACAATAAAATTATTAATGTGACAGCTTTAAATTAATTTCAACGATATTTTAATTTTTTCGATATGCGTACCTGAATTTTAAATTTAAAAAACATTGAAAGCAGTGCTGCCAAGCCCTGAAAATAAATTTTTTAAAAGGATTAAGAACTTAAATTTTAACAATAATTTAAAACTTATTTTGTTTTTTAAACTTTTTTTGTTGTGTTGAAAAAACAATATTATTAAATGAGCAAAGTCTTAAGTTTATTCTTATTCGTTTTTTGCTTGACACATTATACTGACAATGGACACAAAAATTACTGCTGAGAAAAAAATTAAATTAGCCGAAAAGATTTTAAGTCATTTGTCAAATATTAAAATAAATGGATGTTCAAAATTACAAAACAAAATCAAGCAAGAAATAAACTTTTTAGAAAAGGTATTACACTTAAAAATAACTACATTTATTTTTATTTTTTAATGTCAATTGCTAATATTTTTTTTTTTTTCAGTGCTTGTCTGATAATACTTTAAAAGAAGAGCATTTGGTATGTTTAAATTTGACTCACTTACAAGCTATTGCCTATAAACTTTTCATTCTTAAAAATAGATGCTCCGGTGTAATGTGCAATAAAATATTAAACTACGAAAATGGATCTTCAAGAAAGATATGTATTGATTTGTTATTGGACGAAGGTTCAGTTTGGATGAAAGTTATTGCTAGAAATCAAAAAGCTATTACAATGGTTTCAAATGGTATGAAAAAAAAAATTGAGATAAAAACTTAATTAAAAAGTAAAAACCAATATTAATACTAATTATTTGTTTTTAAATTTACAGGTGAATGTTCTTTTAAACAAAAAAGTGTATTAGATCAAGCTGAAGAATTTGTTGAATGCAGCAAACAAAATCTGTGTTATTATAAACCGCCAAAAGTTATATTTTCTTTTGCTAATGGTGTGGAAAACTGTGTAGCTGATGAATTATGTCAAATTGGAGTTTTAGTCGAAAATAATAATAATAATTTTAATGATGAAATTTTTAATAGTTATTTTGGCGAGTAAATAAGTTGCTTTCATGTCATGATATTGTTTCAACTATGGCAATGAATCATCTTATTTTTATTTATTTTATTTTTTAATTACAGTAATACAAACAATGAATACCCAATTAAAGACTTGAACATAGTTAGAAATTTAAATTTAATAAAAAAAATGACACACATAAAATTAAATTTGGGTGTGACAACATTAATTGCTTACGTATCTGCTCTTACTAATGGAGGTTGTAATTACAATTTTAAATCGGAAATATTGCAAAAGCATGCAGAATGGGAAAGAAACAGACCTGTGAAACCTATATTAGATAGTTTATTCGAAGGTAGACATTTTTATTTACTTATATTGAAAGTTATTTGTGACAAGAAAGAATAAATTTTTAATTTAGCCAATAAAATTTTAATAGAAGATTTATTTTTGCCAGGTGTAATTTTACACATTTTGTTTATTTCCAGGAAAAGAATTGTACTGTTGTGCGACTGCAGCAAAAATATTTAAAAACATATTAAATACATTGGGTGGAAAATCTGAAAAACAAAGGGGAGAAGAACTGTTAAATAAATTAATTATTGTTGAAGACAAACCATGTGATAGGCTGAAAATAATGGGGAAAGTTAAGAAAAGATCTTTGGCTATTTTCGGAACTGGGGAATACTTAAAAGCTGTTACAGTCACGGCTAATCATGCTTTCGTAAGAGCTGCTATGAATCAAGGAATAAATTATTCAGTTTTTTTACACGAATCCAGAGCTCTCACAGAGGAAAAACAATTACCTACATAAATTTTACTTATCTATACCATTTAATTTACTAATTTTACTTTACTACTCGAGTTATTGAATCGAAAAACTAATAACAATAAGAATGACTTTAATTTTATATCATATTAAATCCTAAACAATCGTAAAAACAAAAAAAATTTTAGAAAAAATACAATCTAAGAAATGTGTGGTAATCATATCGAGTGATGTAATTGTGTGAGTGATTTTTTAAATTATCTGGTATTACATTTAAAAACTGGTTTAAAATTATTTAAATGGTGATAATTAACGGAAAAATGACCCTGACAAACCCGAAATGTGATTTAAGATCTATTGTTTACAATAAAAAAATAACAAAATATAATAATTAATCTGTGTTTGTTTTATTTTTATAAATAGAGTCAAGGCGTAGTCATGTCAGTACCAAATACTTTATAGTTTTTTATAATATTCTAAAAAAGGTTTTATAAATTTTTATCAAATAAAAAAAAAAAAAAACTATTTTCATTCACACTAAACGGTTATCGATTAATTTATGATTATTGTTATTTCAAGTAAAAAACTATTTTTAAAGTTGAGGTCAAGGTTTGAAAAAAAAAAAAAAAAAAAAAATGATTTCCATTTTTTTTTAATTATCACCCGTACAAAAAAAAAAAAAAGTTAATGAAATTAACGCCGTTATTATTATACACATTGTTATAATTTAAATTTTTAATAATTAAATATTAATTAGCATATCAAAGGTTAAATTTGTGTTCGTTACTTTTTTATTATTATTATTATTATTATTATTAATTCGTTTGGTTTTTATTTGTTTAAAAAAAAAATTTTTTTTTGGCTTTCCAACGTTTTTGGAGGCTTTTACTTTAAATTTTTTAGGTTTATAAAAAAAAAGAGGAAGATGAATAATAAAGGGGCAGATGTCACAAACAGGTGTAAGGAAAAGCAAAGTTGTTTTTCGTGAAATTTAAAAAAAATGGCACTTGTATTTTCGTACGTTTTTTTTTCTTTCTTTCCAACTATATATTTTTTTTTTTAACGAATTCGTTTCAATTATTATTATAAAGTGAAAATCTACGTTTTACCGTCACGTTTTAAACTCCAAATCTGCATAGTAATTGAACCAAGACGAGCGTACGTGACCTTCTGTATTACAGAAGAATATACCATCACCATCTCATTGTCAGAAGAATGAAAATTTGGTACATTCCTCATCACGGCATTCCAGTCATTACATTTTTTTTTGTTAAGGTCAAAGGTTACAAAGTCTTATAATTCATTGTTGTATTACAATGAATAGTGATTTTTTACGTTAAAGATAATGAAATTAGCGTCGATAATGATAATAATTATATATTTTGATTTAAAAGTTGCTAAACTAATGATTTTTACTTTTTTTTGTGATTAATTTTAGTACTTTCTTTTGAATGGCATTCAATTTTAGTTTTTTTTTTTTATTTTCTATTTTAATTATCAACTTATGTTTTAACACTAGGGGAGAAACAAAAAATTGAACTATTTATAGATAAAAAATGTCTAAAAAAAAATCTTTTTTTTTCGTTTTTAAAGAAACTGTTTAAAGGAAAGAAAATGAAATAAATAATCGTTTGTAATTGTTATTTTAGAAAAAAAATTTATGTGTTTATATATATATTTTTAAAATTTTTTGAAAGACAAAATGTCGGGTTAATAATATTAACGTCAACGAACATTTCCGCCATCCTATGAGAATATCGATTTTAAGTTTAAGCAAGCGCATTAAAAGAAATAAAATGTTATTTTTAGAAAGTAACAATATACCAAGTTTAGTTTTTTAATAATATTACACACTTAGCAAAGTGATTTATGAAAAAACTTTTTATTTTTATAACACATAACAATTTAAAGTAAATAATAATAATAATAATAATAATAAATTTTTAAAAAGTGGTTTATTAAATATAAAACTTTTTTATAAAAATATACAGGAAAAAAAAAGATAACGTTTGATAATAATAGTGAAATTTGTGTTAATTTTATTGATTTAAATAATGGAGACATTTTAAATCTTTCTTCGTAATTAAAAAAATTTTTAATAACGTTTAATATTATTAATAATTTTTGACCATGGACGTACACAATAAATAATTGAAGTTTACCTCACTCAAACATTAATTATACGATTGGTTAGTAAAAATGCTGCTGCCACGATAACAAAATATAACCGACAGTCAGTGAATATATTTATCAGTTTTATTAAAAACGTATTTAAAAGGAAAAAAACGATAATGAATTAATTAATTAATTAAGTTAATAAAATATTTAACGCGAGTGTGAATTATTTTAAAATCGCGAATTTAATTGATTTAAGTTTTAATTTTAACAATTTGTTTTTTGTTTTCGGAAAAATAAAACAAGGCTCTGACATTACGTCATTTACGTCATAATTCTGCATGTACGGAATTACGGTTAGTTGATTTTCGGTCTCGGTTCCAACTTCATGCGTATTATTACTACGGTACAATTTGTATTTTAAATTTTTTTTTTCTTTTTTTGTGTGTGTGTGTGCGTGTGTAATTACATAAACGTTAAAACAAATCATGTTGAAAATTTTATTATTATTATTATTATTAAAAACATATAAAACTCATATAAATTTATTTTCACCGTCTTGAATGATTATCACGATGGTTGGGTAAGTGTATATAAAAACTATTTCTCACGCTTTTTTTTTATTTTTATTTATTCGAATATATAAAATCTTTGTCTCTCATTTGATTTCTTAATAATTACGATTATAAAATAGTTATTAATTAATTTCTTAACGAAAAAATTTAAAAAAAAATTTCAACGGTTAACGCGAAAAGAATTCTAGAAAATTCGTTGGATTATTTTTTTTTTTTTAAATAAATCCGTTTGCGTTAAAAAGAAATCAATCGATTTTAAAAAATAAAACGTGAATTTTCGTTTTAAATTATATATCTATAAAAAGTCAGAAAACGATTTGAAACTTGTCTCAATTTTCAAATTTAAAATTTTCTAACTCTGGCAAAGGTCACTAATTTTTTTTTTTTTTGTAAGAAAAGATTATCACGAAAGATCACGACTTTAACTTGGGGACATTAATTACAAAATAACTTTTTAAAAGTGTGATATTACATAAACATGGTTGAATTTATTTTTATTTTTCCCCCCTATGATTTGTCGTAATAATAATAATAATAAAATTTTGTGATAATAATAATAATAATGAATTTTTACTTTGAGTTGAGTGAATGTCGGAGTGTATTTCACATTTGCGGTTAATTCGCGATTGATTTTTTCGGTTTTGTTTTTTTTTCCAGATTAAAACAAAATTAAAATCAAAAGGAAAAATAGAAAATGTATAAAATATTTTGCTGTCGTTCGAATAATGCAACGAGAGTCGAAGTTGATGAAATAACGGATTCATTAGAAAAATGTTTATCGACAGACAGAGGAATACGCGAATTTAAAAATTTTTTAGATAAAAATCGTTTCGACGAAGAAAGTAAAACATTAACGTTTTCATTAAAATGTCAAAATATATTGGGAGAAATATCGAGATTAAGTCCGTCGACGAGGTCTCAAGAATTACCACATAAAATACAAAACGATATAAGAAATATTTACGAATTGGCAAACGATGTTAATTTCGATTTGGATCAAATGAATAATTTAAGAAATTTATATTCATCGGACGTTGATAAAAAGGTAATGGGAAAATTAGAATTCGTCAATAATTTTTAAAAAAATTTTTTTTTGGTAATAACAAATCAACATGTCAACCATTTTGTTAATACGTAATTATTATTATAAAGGAACCAACAAAAACAACAACCTTGATTTATTTTTTTTTTTTTTTTTAAACACGAAAATTTTTACCTAAAAAGTCGTTTCCTTTTCTCTCTTTTTTTTTTTTAAATTTACCGCAAAAATTATATAAAATGATAATAATAATAATAATAATAATAAAAAGAAAATTTTGTTTTGTTCAAGTGAAAGGTAATGATGATTATTTGATTATTTTTAATTATTATTGTTTCTTCAAGTGTTCTACCTGAAGTATAAAAAAACTACTTTTAGTCAGTCAATGATTACGGTACTACCTGCCCCCCCCCACTATATCATGATAAAATTTTGGGAATGTATTTATGCGGGTACTACCTTTAGCACGATTAATTTTCCAATAATTTGTGGGATTATTTATCAAACACACGCACACACAAAAAAAGAAAAACTTCTCATGCAAGGTCAAATTATATTTAAATTATTTGAAAAAATTTTAACAAATAAAGGACATATTAAAATGCTACGACCCCTTGTTTAAAATCCATGTGTTCGAACTGGTCCTGTTAACAAAAAAGAAAAAAATTTTTTTCCCACGCAAAAATAGTTATAAAATATATTTATATACACTATCAAGGCATGTTTTTTTTTTTTTTTCTACAAGTTTTCAGGTATAATTCGGACGTTCGCACATAAAATAATAATAATTTTTAAGTAGCGGTAATTTATAAAAAGAAAAAGAACGTTTGCGGTTTAAATAAATTTTTTTTTTTTTTTTTTTATAAAATTTTTTTTTTCTTGTTTTAGATGCACACGCTTCAATTGGCACAGACATGGGCAATTGATCTTTTACAAGATGTTTATAAAACTTTTAGAGCACGAGCCTTAAAAACCGCCGTATGACACGAAATTTATTATTTTAGAGAAGAGAAAACCGAGTGACTCGAAAAAGAAATGAACAAATTCGATTTATTGCAAAAAAAAAGAAAAACCCGTGAAAAATTGTCCGTTAATGTTTGTTCTATAAGGTGGTATTCTCGTAACGGAAGATCAAACAAGAAGAAAAAGTTTTTCAAAACACAAAGAGTAAAATTAATTTTACGTTAGTCACGAAATAAATTACTTAAAAAATAATAATAATAATAACATATAAAATGACTCTTTGTGTGCCATCGTGAAAAAATTTAAATTTGAAATTGTTGTATGTTTTTTTTTCAATTTCAATTACAATTGTGACTAAGAACAGCTCAAAGTTTGTTGTTGTTGTTTTTGTTGTTAAAATGCAGGTTGTCGTAAAAATTCATTCGTAAATGATTAATGAAAAGATGTGTAATGATTTGGTTTGTTTCTAACGGAAAACGATATTCGTTATTTAATTTTAAACGTACTTAATATCAACAATAAATAATATTTATGTACATAAAAATTTATTTTTTTTAAAAGGAATATCACGTTGGGAAAATATTATCGAATACAATTGCAAAAAAAATTTTTTTTTGTTTTTTGTTAACTTATTCTATTTCTCACCATTCAATATTTTACAACAATTTAATTGTTTAATTTCTAATTTAAAAAAACAAACGGTAAAACGTATTATTATTATTATCATTATTATTATTTCGGAAGGGAAAAATTATTATTATTTTGTTCGATACTTTAATTAAAACAATTAATTTGTACAAAAAATTTAATAGAGAAAAAAACGTTATAAAAAAAAATTTTGTGTGCATATTCCTAATAAAGGCTGTGAATAATAAATAAATAAATAATTTGAAATTATTTAAATATTCAAAATAAATAAAGAGAGGGGTTGTTTATTAAGAAATTTTTTTTTAAATATAAAGCTTGTAGATTATTATTATTATTATTAATTAAATAAGAAAAATTAAGCGTTTTTCTTTCAATTCAATTTTTTATTTAAGTATTTATTTATAAATAAATAAATAATATTAAAATTGTGATTTTGTTACCCGAATATTATTATTATTATTAAAATTTTTCTTTTTTTCTGTATTCAACACTTTGAAAATAATATTGATTTTTTTATTTTATTGAGGGCATTCAAAATGGAGAAATAAAAATAAAAATAAACGGGTCGTTATACAATAAAGTCATTAAGTTATCGATTAAAAATTGTTTTGTGAATTAAAATTCTTAACGGGTTATTATGGCGACGGTGATGAATTGCCAAAAAGATTTTTAAAAAAATTAACGTAAAGAATACGAATTATTATATTTTAAAATTGAATTATAAAAAATTTATTTTTAACTTTTAACTATTAAAAAGGGGTTTCCGTTTCACGTGTTCGAATAGTTTTTTTTTTTATAGAAATTGATAGCCGGGGAGGCCATTATTTTGCGCTCTGTGCATTCTATAATTAAAAATTATAATAAGGATTTTTTTTTTTTAGGTGTTAAAAATTTTAAATGTATTTTAAAACGCTCAAATCGTTACAAATATTTTTTATTATTATTTTAGTTCAAGCCCAATTTTTATTTACATTAAATCATTTTTATCAGTTAAAAGCACAAAAGTTTACATTTATAATCTGGATTTAAAATCCACAAAATAATTTTTTTTATACCACAAGTTAAACATAAAAAGCAATACAGATTTAGAAAAAGTAAGCAAAAAAAAAGCAATAGAAATCTAAGATTTCAAAGCAGAACAATGCCTATTTAATAAAAAAAAAAATGCTTCGAGAAAGTGATTCAATGCATTAGTAATCCATTTATAAACTTTTAAAAATTCTTTTTAAACTTTTCCAATTATGGTATTGATTTTCCTACTCAATTTTTTTTCATTTGTATTTGAATTTTATTTAAAAAACCGTAAATATTATCATTATGCAATAAATATTTTATCAGAATTGAATATGTTTGTTTGTTTGTTTGTTTGTCTGGTAATTTTATTTACCGCATTGGAATACTATAAAAATTTCAATTTTTTTTTTAATTAAAAAAATTTACGATACGTTTTTTTATTTCGTAATACGAAAATGTTATTATTATTGAACTAATTAAAAAATTTTTTATCGTTTATGACGCGTTTTTTTTTTTTTATAATTAACTACAATTAGAAATTTAAGATTTAAAAAAAAAGTTTTATTACTTTTTATTTAAAGTAATAAATTTAAATAATTATTTGCCTTTTTGAATATTATAAGAGAAGGCGTTTTCTTACTCATATTGTTAGAAATCATAAATTTCTGAGTAATAAAAAATTCTGAAAGAATTATCGAGTGTAAATGTATTAAATAGAGATTTATTTAATTGAAATAAACATTAATTTTTAGGGATTTAATCAATAATAATTTTTAATAATATTTAACATAAGGAGTTAATAATAATAACAACATACCTTAAATGAAAAGACATTGCTGCTAATGCAACAGCTGTAACATGCGTATGACACTTATTAACAACTGAATCCGTTTTTTTATTTCGATTATATGAATAATCACTGTTTGAACAATCAATCGAAAACATTTCCTCGCCAAAACAACCATTTTCCTTTTGCCAATTTCTAATTATTTTCCTCCAATTATCTGAAGCAAATTCGACGTAACCCTCGTAGCCACATAAAGCAATTTGTTCAAGAAATATATCTTGAGCCATTGGAAAATAATTTTTTTTAAATAATTCTTTTCCTTCCAATAATATTTTTTCACAAAGTTTTTTTTTACGAAGTTCAAGTTTAAAAAACTTGACAGGATTTTTTTTATCGCATTGTAACTACAAAAAAAAAAAAAAAAACAAATAACTATGGATAATTTAAAATGGCTTTTTTTTTAAAAAAATTATTATTATTATTATTAGATTAAAAATAAACACCTTTGTTGCAGCTTGTAAATAAATTAATCGATGAGTTGTTTTATAACCTGAATGATGTCTCCTATTCATTTCAGAATACCAACAATAGTTTGAAATATTGCAATCTTTTTTAAATAATTCATTAATACACATATTTGAATCTTCTGGACTTCCATTCCTGTAATGACAACATTTTTGTTGAAAACCATGGTAGTAAGTTTTTTTAATTTCTTTTAAATTATACTCACATTAAATAATGATCAAAAGACAAACAAGAATCAAAATTAAGAGAAAAAGAATTATTTGTTGTTGAATCTCCTAAAGTTTTCAATTCCTCTAAATTTTCTCCATCTTTTTCCCAGTTTTTCATATTCAATAAAAGACCTGTGAGAAAAATTTTTTAACTGTACTCTTTTAAAATTTTACTAAATTTAAATAACAATATTACTTACAACTATGATTGTTTCGATTTTCCAATATTTTATCGCATTTTTTTAATAAAATATCAATTTTATTTTTAGATTTATCAAAATCAAATCGTGATTGCACCTCATTAAAAATCCATTGAAGATTCGATCTTGCAAGTAAAACGCCAAAAATCACATCGTCGATTAATGCTTTTTGATTATTTTCAAAGTAAGTTAATGTTTTATCGATCAATTTTAATTGAAGTTCATTTTCTGATAAATACCTTAAAAGAAAAATATTTTTTATATTATTAATTAATAATTTATATTATAAAAATAAACTTTTCGACGCCGAAATAAATGAGGGTAACAAAAATTATAACGGATTTCAAAGAAAATAAATGAACGTTAAATCTCTTATTTAAATTGACGTGGCAAAAGAAATTAAGCGGGAAAACCACCGAGTGAATATTTCCAATATGGCGGCCGCATAAGTACAATCGTTAAGTTATCAAATGTAATTTAATAAATTTTGTGTATTTATTTAGGAAAATGTAAGTACTTTTTTTAAAATTTTACTTAATAATATTTAATATTTAAATATAAATAATTATTTTATGATATAATAATGATATTTTAACTTTATTTGCAATCGGTAGTGAATAATTACTAACGGTTTTGTAATATTTATTTTTTTAAATGAGTTTATTCCCAGTTATTTATTAATTAAACAATTACTTTTTTTTTTTTAAAATAGAAATGCAAATAAATTTTTAAATTTACTTACGAGGTACAATTTTTAACTTGCGAATTCCATAAAAATCCTCGTACTGACCGTTGACAAATTAAAACCGTACAAAAAACGTATATTTGAAATATGTTCGACCTTTTTTTTGAAATCCTTGAATTTTTTTTTTTTTTTCCTTTTAACCTTTTTAACCTCCCAATGTTTTTTTTTTTCCTTAAATGTCAAAACTGAAAATAAAAAAAATAACCAAAAATTTTTCCAATAATAATAATAAATTTTAATTTTTTTTTTTTAACGGAAAAAAAATTGCGGGAAGTAAAAAAAAAAAAAACTTTTTGGAATCAGGGGGGTAACAAAAAATTTTTCAAAAATTTAAAATTACTTTAACTAAACGTTAATATACATTCCTTTTAAAAAAAAAAAAAAACTAATTAATTATAAACGTGACAAATTAAAATTAAAAAAAAAAAATGGTCCCAAAAAAAAAAAAAAAAAATTGAAAAATGATTTATTATTTAAATATTAACGATAACGAAAATTTTTATTTCGTGACAATCATAAATTACAATAGTAGTTAACTAGTTAAGATATTGTGTGTGTGTGTGTGTGTGCGTGTGCGTGAACCTATAAATTATTTATCGAATTCGTGAGTAACCCATGACTAAACATTTATTTAACCTAAAACTAAAATTTTAAATTTATCATAATAATAATAATAATAATAATACCGAATAGAAACAGTAGGAGGTAACTTTATAACAAAATAATATATAAATTTTTTTTTATATATTACTGAAAAACTAAAATTGATTTATTTTATTACTAAATTCAGGTTTTTTTATTTTAACTTCTGAAGATTCCATTACAAAGCACGATACCTAAAAAAAAAGACAACCTTAATTTTTATTACTCCTCGTGTTGTTCGATTAAATTTTTTTGTATTCACATTCAAAATATATAAAAATTTTTAAAAAGGGACCAAAAAAAAAAACCTGAAACCGTCACGCCATGTAATAAACAATAGGATTTAATATTATTATCTTTTCAATTTATAACAATTACATGAGAGAAACGTGAAAAAAAAATTTTGATTTGCTTGAGGATAAAAAAAAACCAAAATGAAAATTAATTTTCTTTTCCTTTTCCTTTTCCCTTTTGTTTTCATTATTACGTTTAAGTTTTTTTTTTTTTATATATAAAAAAAAAATAATAATAATAATAATTTTTAATATTCTTTTCTTTTTTTGACAACATCATCAAATCTTTTCTTTTTTTTTTTTTCTTGATCAAACAAATTATTTATGTAAATGATGAGTTTAAATGTTAAATCAGTAGCGAAATCAAATTTTTTTTTTTTATTATTTATGCTTATGTAAAATTCTTTTTAATACCAATTATTATTATTATTATTATTGAGAGATCGATTTAAAATCAATTGATTGGTTGAAATAAATTTAATCTATCGTATTATTATTATTATTTAAAAAAAAAAAAAAAAAATTGTTTTGTATGGAGTGAAACCTTATTTCTTATGTAAATAAGGAAAATGATTAGTTATAAATTATTATTATTATTATTATTAATCGTTTTCGCCACTGTTCTGTATACATAATAATAATAATAATAATATAATCACCTTAATCAAAAAGTGCTGCATCTTATATTTTGAGGTCAAATTTTGTATTTGCACCACAATTAATAATATAACATGTGTGGTTATTTAATTAATTAATTAATTAATTAAATAATTAATTATTATAATTAATGAAAATGAATTTTTTTTTAATTTTTGACAATTCCGTACGATAATAATAATAATAATTTAAATATAACAAAGTGATTAAGTCGCGCGTCTGAGGGGGAAAAAAATTTTTTTTTTTTTTTTGTTGAAATTTTCGTGCACGTTTTCCAAATCACGTGATACAAATGTGAGTATTTAACATGTAAAAATAATAATGATAATAAAAATTTGAGATTTAAATATTTATAAATAAATATTGCAAAAAAAATTTTTAATTTAAGGTGGACATTTACATGGACTATATTATATATCACGGCATTGATATTATTTTTCGGGGGAACTTTACACGTGCAGGGAAATTATTTAATGGAAAATTCAGGAGTGAGTAATGGGACAAATAAAAATAATAATAATAATATTAATAAACTTACTCTCTGTATGATAATTTAATTAATTTTTTTTCAAGTGCCATTTCTCTTTTTTCCAACGCTTTCAATTCATTCGGTTTGGCTGAAATTTCTTTTTCTATAGAATCAATTTTCGAATCGAGTTCGTTCATGTGATTAATCAAAGGTTTTTTTTTTTTTAAAAATCTACGTTCGGCATCGTTCATTTTTTCTAACATAATTTTTTTATGATTTTTCAATCGTATATCGAAATCTTCGAGTTTTTTCATTTTACGATTTTCAAAACTTTTTTCCAATGCAAATTGCATTTCCTCTTCGTATTTAAGTATTTTCTCTTCTTTTTGTATAGAATTTTTCAATTCTTTAATTAATTTATTATTTTTTTTAAATATTTCATAATCTTCTCTTTTCATCCTATTCAATTCATCCAAAAGATCGTCATTTTCGTACGTGTAATCTTTTATTAAAAATTCTTCTCCTCCCATTTTATAAGTCAATTCTTCTTCTTTATTTTCAAGTTCGTTCAATTCGAAATCAATTTTCGTCATTTCATTTTCAATATTAATTAATTCGCTATCGTAATTATTTTTATCATCTTCGTATTCAACTTCTAAACTTTCTTTCCTATCAATCGTTTCGTTTATTTTTATTTTTGTCTTATTGAAAATTTCTCTCAAGTTTCCAACTTCTTTCGCAAATAAACTCATTTTATTTTACTTTTATATATTTTATTAATTTTGAACTTTTTTTTTTTTTTTTAATTATTATTATTATTATTATTGTTATTCCAAACGATATTTGTAAATAAACCTTTACGTTCTATTGTTTAAAACTGAAAAAATTGTTTTAAATTGTAGAACTTTATGAATTTTTTATCTTTACTAATTTTTTTTTCCCTTTTTTTTCCTACAGGAAAGTATGGGAGTTAATAGAAACGACGAGAACAATAGATATAATACAAAATATTATGATTGTTACATCACCGTACACGAGGTAAGTTTTTTTTTTAAATATTTTTAATTATTTTTTTATTAAAACAAGTAAATATATATATATATAAATTGCGAAAGGTTTTCTTTACTACTAAACAACCTGAATTTTTTAGGTTCGACGTATAGGCGGTCAATGTGTTAAAATAAGAGATAATTTTCACGGATGTGTAGCTGGAAGTTTAATGGATCCTTTTCATCAGGATTGTTTATAAATATTAATAAAGGGACTTTTTGTGACAGAAAAAAAAAATAATGAGTCGTTTAAATTGTTTAATGGCATTTACAAATAATTAATAAATTCAAAAAAAAAATTTTTTTTTTTTAATAAAAAGTTATAATCGAAATAATTTAACTAAATCATTTTTTTGGTAATTCGAATTTTCCTTAATGGCGTTGGTTTAATTGAAAATTATGTCAAAAATTCTTAATTTCTAAATAGGTTTGTTTTTCGAGGAAGACATTTTAAGAATTTTTCTTTATTTTCATGAATACAAAAAAAAAAAAAAAAAAAAAAAAAAAGATTGTCTTATCGAAAATTTTTCTAAAACTATTAAAATTTCCTAAAAAAAAATTTTTAGTAAGAAAGTATATTTATTTATTTAAAAATACTCGTTATTATATTTAAATAATTTATTATTATTATTTATTTGAATTTTGGCTCCAAGTGGACACGCACAATTTCCGGTCGTAAAACGAACAAGTAGCAATTAAACTAGATTGACTGCATCCTAATAATTCTTCCATTTCTTTTTGATTTAAATAAGACCAATCTGCTCCGTACGCCATGCTTTCATGTTCTTTATATTCGCTTATCGATTTATAAGATGAAAGATCATAAATTTGAAATCCTCCGTAAATGCAAGCTGCCAATAAAAATTTTTGTTTACCGCTCGGGTGCCATTTTAGTCTCCATAATCCACCGCCGGCTGTGATCGTTTTAAGCGGTGATTTCCAATTTCTCGTATCCCAAAAGAAAACGTTTTCATCGTAGCCTCCGCTAACCAGTGAGAATTCATCAAAAGGATTTGAATTTAAAACGGTTACTCCAGCTCCATGTGTTTTTGATGTCATAATTTCACCAGAATTATCTTTTCTTGTGTCCCACATTTTGAAAACTCCTTCATCTCCACCTAAAAATAAGGGCAAAAATACATAAATAAACAAAAAAATTTTTTCGGGGTAGTTAAAAAAAAAAAAGAAAAGAAATAGGCTACCACTCACCTGAATAAATGATATTATTTTGAAAAGAATCAAAACAAACAGCCCAAGCCTCTAATGAGTGGCCATTCCATTCCTTTATGATGGTTAAAGTGTTATTTAAAAATTTAATAATAGAAATATTTCCTTTCGAATCGCTGCAGCAAATTAAATTTTCATCGTTTTTCTTAGTCCAATCTAAAGCCAATATTAAATAATCTTTTTGGGTTTTAATCGAACATTTTGATAAAAATTTCAAAATGTAATTTTTAAACGTGTATGTGACAACTTCACCAGATGCATTTGCAACAGCTAAAACAATATCATCATTCACTTTTTCATTACACCATTTCATGTCTAAAACAGCAGGGCAATCTACTCGGCAATTTTTTTCCAATCGATCTTTGCATATTGTGTAAATGATTACACCTCCACTTCTAGTACATGCATTATTATCATTTTCTTCATCAGGTTTTTCATTGCTTTCAATTAAATGATAAGTACCACATGCAAATGAATTTTTATATGGTGAAATGGGACACCATTCCACAGAATCTGCATTATTACCAGTATCACTAACATAAAGCGTTTTAAAATTTTCTGAAGTCATATTGGAATGTAGCTTTGATATTAATGAGTTTAAAAATATAAATAAGCACTTCACTGATAATATAATAAATGATTAACTATGTTCTTTTATAACTTTTCTTTCTGAATACTTTGAATGAAACTTTTATCTGATTATAAATTAAAAATTTAAAAAAAATAAAACCAAACCCTTATGCTTCTTCTTTAAATTTTCTTCTCGTAAGTTTATCAATTTTTTTTTTTTCGTAATTGATTCACTTTCACAATTAAAAATAAGATTGAAATGTTTTTTGATTTAAGTACTTTGTAATAGTTATTACTAAAAACTAATTTAATGATAATGTCATTTTATAAAATATTTTCTTAAAAAAAATATTACAAAAAGTATATATATTTGAAATTATCCTTAAAGACAGTATAAATTAACATTCCAAAATAAATCGATTTGTTATGTGACTTTAAAAATAATTATTTGAAAATAAATTAATATAGATTAGAGAAAATAAAACTTTATATATTTTTCTTTTTTTTTTGAATTATTTAATCAAGAAATTACATTCATGTACTTATTATTAAAGTCTAATTAAAACAATAATGAAGGATTCAAATAATATGAATACTTTTGCTTTTCTGTTTTTTTTCACAAAGTATTTTATACTCTTTAGCTCTGAATTAATATCAATCGCTTATAACTTAGTATTATAGAATAAAAAAATTAATAAGTAACAATTTAAATTTTACCTGAGTTATTATTTGGTTAAGTACAAATAAGTTTTCCCTAATTTAATCAGTGTTAATTTAAACATTTGAACTTGTAGTTTTTTTTTTGTTTGTACATTAAGGCATAATTTCAATAAATACAAAGACTAAAAAAATTGTTATCGATAAATTCGAGTAAATATTAAAAAACAGAGTCGAAAAACAAAATAATTGCCCAACATTACTTTTTTTTTTTTTAAAGTGTGAAACATCAAAACTATAAAACTTTATAATAAATGATAACATTAATATTTTAATTTACAACCATAATAATTAACAGTATATATTTAAAAACAATTCTAACTAATAACTGTAACATAACACAGAAGATTGACTACAAATTTATTTATTCATATTGCATTTAATAACTAGTTTTTTTTAGTGTTAGTACAGTATTATTTATAAAATATATATATATTTTATTAGTAATTAAAAAATTTTTTAAATCAATATCACTGTCAATCACAACCGATGACTGTAAAAACACATTATAACTTTTTAAAAAAAACTTTATCATTGCCTTGCTGATCTTTCCGTTTCTATTAAGCATTCACCTACGAGGTGCTTAGCTTGAACAATTCCCTTTTTTAACCTTTCCACAGATGTTTTATTACCGGCATAGGCTGTACGTACTTCTTTTCCCATATCTTCAATCACGGATAAAAGTTGAGTGTATTTAGGCATATTTTGTTTCGGCAAAGAATGTGAACTTATATTTCTTTCACCTGACGATGAGTTCGAATGAGATGATATAATAATTTCTTCATCAAACTTGTTTGTAAACATGATTTAATTAAATATTAAAAGGGTAACTTATCAATAGTAATTTTATACAGTTTTATAAAAACCTGTTTGAAAGAAAAATTATTACTAATTTTTATCGATACCTATTTTAAAGCATAACAAAACACACGTTTTTATTCACGTTCCTTTTATGGTGACACGACAAATTTACCTCTTAATGTCTTCATTAAAATTTAACCATGCAGTGAATTTAAAAAACGATCGTCATTCTAATGCCACTTTTAAAATGTCAAAATAAAAATAGTGATATTAAAAATTTATAATCTTTTATTAAGAGTTTTTTGTGTAAAAATTTTCTTTATAAAAATATTTCGAATGTGATCATGTGAATTTCTTTTAAATGTTAGGAAATGTTTATTCTTTAATAATACTAACATAATTTTTAAAAGTTTATTAACGAAAGTTAAAATTCAAAATAATTAAAATAATATTTTATTTACAGTAATGTAATATGAATAAGATGAATTATTTAGTAGGCTAAGATATCTAATTCATAAGTACTTAAAACTTTTGTTGTTTTCCATTACCATTTTTAAATAATAATTATATTTCAATTTCATTCTATAACTTAATTTCTTTGAAGTCGTCATCCGATTCTGACAAATTATCATTAGTTATCGGTTCAGGTTTTTCAATTTTTTCAAAATCAGTATAAGTTAAATTGTGATATTCTTGAGAGCTTGATTTTCCTGGAGTGACATCTTCTTTTTCTTTCTCTTTTGACTCTACCTTAATGTTAGTGTCATAGGAATTTTGAGGATCTGTTATACAAATAATGTATTAGTATGAAATCACTACTTAATAAAATTTTTGTTTTGATAAAACATTTTAAAATAAAATATTTTTAAAATTTATTTACCTTCAGAATAGATGGGATTGTCAAATGCTTGCCTTCCTGCATTACTACCACATGCAGATTCAATATGTATATTTTCATTACAGTTATCTTCATTTGAAACATTGTCAAATCTTGCAAAAACAAATGGTTTATTTTGGTCCATATTTATTCTACAAAAAAATTTTTTTTTTTTAAATAAAAATATTATTTTAAATTAATAATTAATTAAATATTACTGTTTTGCTTACATTTTTTGAGGTATTTTTACATATTGATAAAACAAAATGACGAATAAAAGTAAAACCCCGAATAAAGTTCCGAAAATAATGCCTGTAATACTATTAAATAAGTAGTTAGATAAAGCTAATCCAGACAATTGAGAAATGCTTAATTTTAATTTTTGCCCTAAAATGAAAAAAATTTTAAAACTGTTTTATATGTAATTATATTATTATACTTTTAGGCAATTATATTAACCTTTTAATTTTTGAGCAATCACACTAGATAGAAAGTGACTACTAGTGGTAGCATCAGAATCATCAGCCAAAATTACTATTTGAATATTTTCATCTTTGGTTCTACCCACATAAGTTTTTAATTCTTTATTTAACTTATGTTTTTTTATTTCTTCATTTACTTTTCTTTTTATTTCATTCAAATCGAAACCTTCTTTCGTTTTGTCCTCAAGTTTTAAAACAGCCCCTAAAAATTAGTCACGTTTATTAAATTTAATTGTATTTTCAGTTTACAGTTCCTGAAATTTTATTTTTTAATTAACCTACCACAAATACCACAGCAATGACCTTCTGGAACAACAGGAAAATAACAAGGCACTTTTTTACATTTTGGCATCGCATACAAGCAGACAGCTTCTTGGAAAATGTGTCGATTTACCTCTTTGTAAATCCTAAACGAAAAAAATTATTTTATTAATAACATAAAAAAATAATAATTTTTATTAAAATAGTATTAAAATAATTTTAAAATTTTCTAAGTAAAAAAAAGATAACATGATGAATTTCTTTAATCTTTATTTTGTTACCCATCTCTAAAAGTGTATGCAGATCTAATACAGGTACATTTTTTTCCTTTCGAACAACTCTCATCAGTACGCCATGGCTTTTCTCTCAATTCGTCTGATCCTTTAAAAAGCATATACCCCAATTCTGTTTTTAAAAATTCTTGCCATTCTTCACCATTTAAAACCTTTTTTTTTTTTTTAAAAAAGAAAGTTTTTTTTGTTTTACTTTTGAAAGTTTTTTAAAAGAAATTTTGGAAATGGAAAACTTACTTGTTCACCAAAGTTAAAACTTTTATATGGAAGCAAAATGCTTGGAAGTTGTACTGAAATTGTATTTATCGATGGAAAATTTATAATTTCTCCTGTGCAAGGAACTCTTTCAGAATGTGGAAGCCATTGATTCGAATCAGACATCCAATTATATGGATCCAACCAACCTTTAATATCGTTTCTGGTGAATTTCATTTCTAAACAAACAATTAATAAACTTATAACTAAAATTTAAAACATTTGAAATAATTATAACATTATAATCCTTACTTCTAGCATTGAGACATTTTTCTTTATCTTTAAATAATAGATTTATGTAATTTGATAGAATTAATTCTCCTGATTTTGATAGAACCAAATTACTAATTTCTAAATCCTATTTTTTTAAAAAAAAAAATTTTAATTATTATATTTAATAATTATTAATAATGAAAGTTTTTCCTTACTTACTTTAATATTCCAATAAGTAGCAATTTCACTTTTAGATGGAAAATAAATTTGATCACAATTTTTTGGAATTTCATTATTTTCCCAATTTTGAGTATTATTCATACCAGTATTGGGTAACCAAATTTTTAATCCATGAGCTTTAAGGAAAAATAAGAAAAAAAATATAATTTTGTACATAATTAATTTGACTAAACCTTTCACTTTCAAATTTAATCTGATTAATTTATTCTTTTTCAAATATGTGAAATTAATATTACAAGATATTATCAGACAATATCCTATTACAAATTATTATCACAAAAATTTTTTTTTTTTTTTTTTTGGGAGGAATTTTTAGGGGGGGAAATAAATAAAATATAAAAAATAAATTGATTGTTACATTTTTCATTCAAATTGAACATATATATTAAACTTAATAAACAATTTTTTGTTAGTTAAATTATTTATTAACTACATCATATCAAACAATCAAAAATTTGGTTAGTTAATAGAACACAATAGCCATTTTATTAAAAAGAAAATAAAACAGATATACATAAGTTTTCATTTAATTCAAAGTACAATTAAAAATGGAATAATTTTTTTTTTTTTTTTTTCAAACGATTTTTTTTTTAATAAAAATTTGATACATTTAAGGATTTCAAACATTTGATTGTAAAAAAAAAAAAAATTTATATACATTTTTTAAATATTTTTATTTCATTTTCAACTTTTTTTTTTTTTTTTTTAAAAAAATTATATAACAGTAATGAAAGAAATTTAAAAAAAAAAAAAAAAGTTATTTACGGAGTAAACCTGATAATTAACACATTTTTATTTCATGATTAAAAATTAAATAATTAAATTAATAAATTTATGCTACGTAAGCGTATTCATCTTGTGAATTTGGTGTTCTTTCAATGTATTGTTTTTCTATTAATACCTCGATGCATTTTTTTATCATAGGTATAGAAGGTTGAAAAGATGATCCGCTTTGAGACAAAACCTAAAATCGAAAAAAAAAAAAAAAAAAAAAACAATAATTAGATCAAATTTTATAATTAATGTGATGCTTTAAATTCGAATTAAAAAATTACTTCTTGAATGAGACAATTATGTTTTAATAATTTTCTAGACTTCATTATTCTAACGATGGCAGCTTGCAAATACAATTTTCTATCACCTTCGACGCTGTGAAAAGTTGTTTCAACTTCTTGAGGTGTTTCTTTTTGTAAAGCTCCTGATATTTTTAGCCTGGTTCTTTTATTCGAGTATTCAAAATTTAACTGATAAGTTATGTCGAGAGTTAACTGAAATTTGAATTTAACTTGAGTTAACTAGAATGTCAATTTAGAAAAAACAATATTATTAAATTTAACAACAAGATTAGGTTATGGTTTACCTCTGATCCCGGATCTTTTAATAATTTTGCATCCACTAAACTTTGTATTTGTTTAATGAGTTGATCTTCTGGTATTTGAACACTTTCTTGAATATCTCGACCGGACAAGTCGTTCGTTTTTTCAAAAAGCAATAAAATGGCCATTTGAAAAGTTTGCATTGATATTATGTATGGTTTTTTTAAATAAGTTAATTTTAAATCCCCTAATAAATCGATAAATTTTAGCCTTATAATTTGTTACGTGTAAAAAACATTACGGTTGAGAAATGCTCCAAGTATTTTTTACCTTGACACAAATGATGATACCAAGACAGTTTTCTTCCGCTGAAATTTATTTTATAAAATTCTTCAAATACTTGAACGCTTTGTTCCAACTCTTGAGGTACGTTAAAAGTGAAAAAACTTTGCCTTAAAGGCCAAGCTCCAGCCTGAAAAATTTTTATTAACAATTAATTAAACTTTTTCCAAACAAATCAGATGTTTAATCGAGACAAAAAAAAATTAAGGTACAATATAAGGTTTACTCGAAGTAAAACTTTGTGAAGAGTTAAACTTGTTCCCAAAAACAACTTGGGGAGTTTAGATAAAAATTATGAAAAATAAAAATTTACCTGAAGAACGTTTATTTGAAAATTTATTCCAAGATCAATTTGTTTTTGTTTTAAATAATCTTGAAATTTTACATTTAAATCAGCACTAAGAGAAATATCTGTGTACATTCTATGAAGTTTACTAGTGAATTCATACCCACAGGTTTGCTATGGGAGAAAAATTATTTAATTTAAGATTTAGTAAAAAAAAAAAAACGTTTCAAACAAAAAAATTAAAAAAAAATTTGGGTATTTAGTACCTTTAGTCTATTTATCATAGTTTCCTCTGCATCCATGCTTTGACTTTGTTGATGTATTAATCTTCTAGCCAACATTTTTGAATAAAATTTCTGATAGACATCTTTGTCATCAATGTATTTAAAAATTGTTATAGACTTGGCTAATTTTTTATCAATTTCACTGTCGCTGAGACCC